CCTCAAAATGATGACAACCATTCTACTTAAGTTAGCAAGATTTCCTTATTCTCTCTCTTTTTTCTTTTAGATCTTTGCTCACCATTTTCTTCTTGTATGAGTCTATCACATTTGACTACAACTTTGGCCTTTGATTTTGCAACATTTCAATTAGTTCATGCGAGGAATCTAGATCACCAACATCTTCCTCGACATGGATTTGGATCATTTGAACCATATACCAATCTTGAAATGGCATCACTGTATTCAGATTCATCATTAGCAAAGCCTGAAAGCAAAAAGAAACATGGATAAGCAATAGCATGTGAGGAAAGCATATATATGCAGGTAAATTTTTTGTTCTTTTTTTGTTTTTTTGATTTTTTTTTTTTAGCATATTAATGGCATCAAATGATGTCTCAATGGTAAATGATGGATTGGACAATGATTAACAAGAAGAGTTGCATCAGGTTTAATGCATGACAATAGGGCAACATATGTTACTAAATTGTAAAGACTGGGAAAACTAATTAGCATGATAGCAAATATTTCAAAGAATATAAAAGAGCTTGTTATTCCCTCCTTTCATGTAGCCACAAGCTGAGCTATTAGAAAGCTGACTCATCCCACTCATGGATGAATGAAGCAGAGACAAGCTTGACTGTCCAATTGGCCAAAGTGCCCCCAAGGTAGAAGTAATGATCATGTCAAATAGGGGTTCATCCCTAGGAGCAATAATACTTGAATTTCCCCATGTCCTAGATTTGCCCCATCATTCATTGAATCTATATCCACATGTCTTGTGTGTAAGTCCACTTCAACATCATATCTTGGTGAGTTTATAAAAGCATGTTGAGGCCGCCTTCTAGATAGGTGATCATTGCTCCAAAGAGTGAGAAACATAGGGAGACTATCATGCCAGATTTTTTTTTTTTTTTGAAGTAGTTTATGATATCTACCTGCAAAAAGTAAAAGAAAAATAACCAAAGTCAGAATAATATTAGAAGTCATCCCATAAGTTTGCATGATTTAGTGCTTCAACAATTGCTATATGGATTCACACATTGTCGATTTCCAATCCTTAAAGAGCCTCGGATGAAGCAAAATATCTTTGAACGCATTGAGATTTCCATTGCACTCAAAGGGCTGTAGAAAAGACACTTATAAGCAGTTCAACATGCATTACAATGATGGCCATTCATTACAAAGCAAAAACCTAGTACATCATATTAAGTACATCAACATGGTAGCATTCAAATCCCTAGTAAAATCTGACTCTTAGATCTTTCATAGTACAATTGTCGAATGAGTAGTTCCATTTTTCTCCTTGATTGTTGGAGCCATATAAAGTGTGATGTGCTTGATCTTTTGATCTTGAGGCTGCTCTTGGCTCTTGTCCTTCTAAGTTTGCCCCCTGGATTTGGCAATTGTCCATGATGGAGAAAAATGCTTGCAGTTAAAGATCTCCTCAATCCTCTGTTGGTCAAAGCTTTCTCCACGGATGAATATTTCAACAGGTGTCTTGATTGACGAAGAATCGTGCTTGACCATGTATGAATCCATATTTCAATTGTTGAAGGCAGAGAATCAAGCAAGATTATGGGAATGCAAGAAAAGAAATAAACATGGATGGGAAATGAGTGATAAAGGATGCAAGAATATAAATATGCTGACAAGTGGTAAGGTGTGTGAAATTGTATCCTAAAACATGAATTTTCTTCATTAAGTATGCCAAGCAAATTTCAAAGGAGAAGCTGGTGAGTTGTTGCTACCCATTAAATTGGCATTCATAGGAAATATCATTCTTTTGAAAAGAAAGCAAATGCCATGAAGCTTGAAGAAAAAAAAAAATGAATGGTGTGATACTTGGAGAAAATGGATGATGTGATGCTCCAAAATCATGTGCTCAAATTATTTTAATGCTTAAAAGATGGATCTTTCATGAATTTATCTTTGAAGAACCTCTATTTCTTTTTTTTCTTTTTTCTTTCCCTTTTTTTTTTCAAAAATGTGAAATGCTTTGGATTTAGTTGAATAAAGCCCACAAGTTTGAAACATGCAACAAAATGCAAGATAATGAGAACTTCTTCGAATGAGAGCTTGTACATTTTTTTTTTTTTTGAAAATCATGACTTAAAGGACTTGATTGAAGAACAAGAAAATATGAGGATCAAATTTGATTTTATTCTAAACATGAAATGAGCATGAAATGAATGTAAATTTGACATGGGATGGAAAATGTGATGTAAGGTTGAATATGAGTTGCAATGAAAAATGAGATTGAAAATGTACTGAGAGCTGAACATGGATAAGATTTTTTTTATTTTTATGCAATTTTTATAAAGTATAAGACAATGAAAGATGTAATGTTTGAAATGAAATGTAAGATGGAAGATGGAAGATGCAATGCAAAATGCATGTGAATGCAATTTTCATTTTCATTTTTAGGCATTTGTTTTTGAGCTATGAGATGGAAATAGTGGTGGTTGGAATGAAATATGTGATGAAAAGTGGAATGTGAAATGAACATAAAAGAAAGCTTCACTTTTATGCAAAATTTTTCTCTTTTTTTTTTTTTTTTTTTTTGCAACTTTTACGAAATATGGGAAATATGAGATAGAGATAATAATGCTTGGAATGAAAATTTGAGATAGAAAATGCAGTGTGAAATGCATGTGAATGAGATTTTTTTTTTATATTTTTATGCAATTTTTATATGAGATGGAAGATGTAATGTAATGAATATGGATGGAATTTTACCTTTTTTTTTTTTGCAATTTTTTTTGTGAAACATGAGATGAAAAATGAAATTTAAAATAAACAAAATGGAGAATGTCACATGAGATGAACATGAAACTATATTTTGCAATGCATGAGATAGAAAATGCAATACAATGGACACATGACATGTGAAATTTGCAAGACATATGGAGGATTTAATGTGAAATGGGATATGACATGTGAAACCATCATCAACTTCTTCTTTTTTTTTTTTCTTTTTTTTTTTTTTTTGCATAGGGTTGAAAGTGAAGATACCAAGTGCATAGAATGCTCCTTACCTCAAGAATGATGTCTAAATGCAGAAGATGAATAACTAATCATACCTCAGATGCATATGAGAATCTGTACCTGTCATGTGCGGAGACAAAGTTAGTGAAGAAAAATGCCCCTTTGTGTCTTAGACACAGGATCCCTAACCTCACAGGTGGGATGCTAAGGGAAACATGTCTTAGGGTTGGTATCTCTCTAAGGCCATTACATGTTTTCCTAAAGGGCATTAGGCCTTCTCAACCATTTATCCTTTCGGAATCAACGGGAGATATTTCCAAAAGCTAATACACAGAATGATATTACATCATCGAGTGTCGTATTAACCAATGGAAACAACCTAACGAGAACCAATCTTACTCCTCAAAGCGGGAAGAATTGCTCCTCCAAGCCAGATTCATAAGGATTCCAGACTAGAGGTCGGGTTCACCTCCGACACGGACCTAATGCAAAATGAGAGTGAGTGTGTGCAAGGGGCATGACACTCCAATAACCTGCACAATGGAAACAAAATAGCAACATATATCCCACAACAATCGAATAAAGTATATAAAACACTCAACAGATATAGCATTCAGAAACACACCTACTTACACAACAGGAAGGGGCTCACCTAGTACTCCCATGCCAAATGCAAAAGGTTAGTAACACAAAAGCAACCAACACTTAGCATGCAACAAGATATAAATAATCGCACAAAAGGGAAGAGACTCACTGAGTACTCCATAGCCAAGTGTAAAAGGTGAGTATATCCACACACAAGCAAGCAAGCATATAGGCATGATGCATGATGAATAAGCATGTTATATCAATGATGGATGAGCATGTGAGATGATATGATGCCTGAACATGTTAACAAGGTATGATGCATGTCAAGATGTAGCAAGATAACTACTCAAAGGCAAAACAATCAAAGCAACCACTAAAACCATGAGCAAACAAGCAACAAGCAACACGCAACAAGCAACACGCAACAAATATATAAATGACAAAGACCCACAAAGACTCAACAAACACAAAAAAAATCAAAGGTTGAAAATTCCCCAAAGTTAAAGTATTAGCTCAACCCTCGTGAACCCAGAATATGGAAACCAGGGATTCTAGGTTCTATCCCCAGTGGAGTCGCCAATCTGTTGACGACCACTTAAGATTTTTCAAAAATAAATTGAAAAATTAAGTGTGAAATATATAAGAAAAAGGGGAGTCGCCACTCGTCCAAATTTTAA